ATGTTTCTTCACTCTGATTTGGAAATTATTCCCGGAGTCCACTAGTGTTAATAAACGGGTCCCTCCCTTTCTCTAGGAAGCGTGCTTGGTATTTCTTTGGTCTTCTGTAACAAAGGTAGGGGGAGGAAGGTGGTCAAAATATACAAACTCACAGTACTAATATAAGTAAGTACTAGGCATATAATACAAATGATAACAATGAGTAAATCATATGAGTTCTCATCATAAGGAGAAAATATTTTCCCTTTTTCTTTTCTTCTTTCTTTTCTGTTTATTGTATCTATACGAGAAGATGGATGTTAGCTGAACCTGAAGTATGGTACCTATTTGCTTTGTTTAACAATGGACAGGTTATTTTGATTTTCTGAATTGTATAAATCATCCCATTCGATTGAACGCCTTATTGATTGAATGACTATCCCATTGATTGTGATCTTACTGGCTATCGAAGCACATTCTTCTGTACCTGGGAAACAGGACAGCACAATTACCCTAAATTGTTTTAGTGGCCACAGGTGGTGCGTTCCAGCTGACTTAGTGGTCCCGAGACCAGAACAGCACAATTACTCTAAATTGTCCTGACAACTCAGTGGTCAGGAGACCCGAGGGCTCTAGATAATGTATCTGTCAATTCAGTGACCCCGAGACCCGAAACTGTAATTAACATGCTTAATTCTGCTTCTGTAATCTGCTTTTTTTGCGAGCCAGGTGCTTCATTCCAAACCCTGAGATGTAATCAATACCTGTGTGATTTTTTGCCTACATAATCCTGGAACTGTGACCAAATGGCTACTATGAGATTTGGGAATGACCCCTCATAGTCCCGGATTGCAATAAACGTGACTCTTTAATTCGACTTCTTGAAGCGTCCTTCTGTGATTCAAGGGGTACATTACAACAAACCTATTATGGTATTCATTTCACAATATATGTAAACCAAACCATCTTGCTGTATGCCTTAAACTTAATACAGTGATGTATGGCAATTATTTCTTAATAAAACAGAGGGGAAAAGACAAATATTCTAAATTTCAAAAGAAGTTTGGGGGGGGGGGGGGCCCTAGCCGGCTTGGCTCATGGATAGAGCGTCGGCCTGCGGACTGAAGGGTCCCAGGTTCGATTCCGGCCAAGGGCACATGCCTGGGTTGCGGGCTCCATCCCCAGTGTGGGGTGTGCAGGAGGCAGCCAGTCAATGATTCTCTCTCATCACTGATGTTTCTATCTCTCTCCTTCTCCCTTCCTCTCTGAAATCAATAAAGAAATATATATTAAAAAAAAAAGTTTAGGGGGGGATGGAAGATATCTGTAATAGTGTCAAGAATAAAAACAAATTAGGAAAAAAAGTTTACTACATGCAAGTTTCTATCTATTTATCTTTTTATTTCCTGTTCTTTTTGCCTATGGATCTTCATGCATTTGGTGAATGGCTGTTCTTAATGATTAAGATTCATAGTGGATTTATTCACTGTGCTTTATCATTTAAAAGTACTAATCTTTGTGATGCTTAATGCTTCTAGCCTGAATTGAACTTGTCTGCTATCAAGATTCCTATTCCTGATCTTTGCATATCTTTGAAAAGCTTTTTTTTTTAACTTTTGTGAATCATTTTTAGATGTCTCTTTTATATATAATATTTAGTTGGGTTTTGATTTGTGCTTCAGTCTGAGCACCTTTTACTTTCAATAAATGAGTATAGTTGATTTACATTTGTTGAAATTGTGATATGATAGATATATTTGGTGCTTGTTCTGTCATTTTATTTTCATTTTATTTTACTATTTTGTTTTGTATAGATGTCTTAAAATATTTCATAATAATTTATTATTTGTAATTTTTTAATATTCAATCTCTGTCCTTAGATAATATCTACTGATTCCCTACATTGAAAAATATTAAAATATATTTCCACTTTAAATAAACTTCAGCTTAATTTTCAAAATAAAAATACTATAGAAGTAATAAATATATATGTGAGAACAAATATTGAAATTTGAACACAATTAGCAATAGCTGCTTCAAGGACTAAAGCACTTCTGTGAATGAGTTGCAAGCAGAATTAATCACATTTATTTTTTCATGGAACCCAATTTTTTGCCATGAAAAAAAACAAACAAACCACAAAAAACAATTGATGGGCACATTCTGGTTACTTAGACTTGATTATCTGGCAAGTAGACATTATCTCAAAAATAAATCTCTTTCATTTCAAAGACAATAAATGTGTTTGAAATGACATGTTTACTGACATGTTAGATGTACAAGGTAGATTCAGGAATAAAAGTAGCACTCAAGATCTAATTGTGAGCATTCACTGGATACTGGAGTGCAGCAAAGAATTTCAGAAAAATGTTAGTCTTATGTTTTGTAGACTACAGTAAAGTCTTTGTGACCATCATGAAAAGTTCTGGGCTGCTCTGAAAGCAATGGGCGTGCCTCAGCACTTGATTGTCCTAATGTGTAACCTGTACTATGGACAGGAAGTTGCTGTCACAGAATATGGACACAGAATGGTTTCCTATAGGCAAAGGTGTCAGACCAGGGAGCATTTCATTTCCCTATTTGTTTAATTTATACATACAACATATCATACAAAGAACTGGGCTAGATTCAGAGGAAGGAGTGAAAATTGGTGAAAGAAATATCAATGACTTAAGATATCAGTAACCTAAGATATGCAGATGACACCATCTTACTGGTGGAAAGTAGCAATGACTTGAAACTTCTGATGGAAGTCAAAGAAGAAAATGCCAAAGCAGAACTGCATTTGAATATTTAAAAGACAAAAATCATGACTACAGAAGAAATATACACCTTTAACCTAGACAATGAAGAAATTGATATTGTTAAAGATTTTGCTTACCTTGGTTCAGTCATCAATTCCAATGGAGACTGCAGCCAAGAAATGAAAAGAAGGCTGAGACTTGGAAGGGCAGCAAATGAAGAATTAGGAAAGATCACGAAGAGCAAGGATATGTCATTAGAGACCAAGATTTAAGGTCATCTACACCCTCGTATTTCCAAATACTATGTACTGATGTGAAAGTGGGACATAGTGAAGAAGGCTGAGAGGAAAAAAGTGATTCACTTGAAACATGGTGTTGAAGGAGAGCTCTAAGCATACCCTGGACCACCAGAAGGATGAACAAGTGGATCCTAGAGCAAATTAAGCCTGAGACATTGCTGGATGCAAAAATCACAAAACTAAAACTGTCCTACTTCGAGCACATCATGAGAAGACAGGGTTCTTTGGAAAAGACAATAATGCTGGAAAAAGTAGAAGACCACAGGTAAGGGGAAGACAAAATATGAGATGCACTGACTCCATAAAAGAAGCCATAGGCATGAGTATACATGAGCTGAACAAGGCTGTTGTGGACAGGACATGATGGGTATCACTCATTCATCTTTGGTGGCTAGGAGTCGGAGCTGACTCAATGGCACATAACACACATTTGTTGACAATAAAAAATTAAAATTTCAAAAAGAAAAATTTTGGAAAACTTGGCATATCTGCTTCTGTGAAGTTGTCAATTTTCCATTACTTAGTGACTATTCTGATTTGTGATTCTTTGATATAATAAAATAAAGTGTCAACACTTGAAATCAGTAAACTTAAACCAGTATTTTCCAAATGACCTACAAGATGCTATAAAATTATGCACGGGTAAAGATTCATTTAAAGTGCAACACAGACGAATGAATTTTCATGGTTTTTCAGTATTCACTGAAACTAACATTTGTGGAGTTTCAGTGCAACAGAAAAAAACATGCACAATAATCTGAGAAGGCTATTAAAATATTCTTCCCTTTTTCAACTTTATCTGTGTAAAGAAAGATTTTCTTCATATACTTCAACCAAAATAATGTCACAGCAAACTGACTACAAGCAGATATGATAATCTAGCTATCTTCCATTAAGCCAGATATTAAAGATTTGTGAAAATGTAAAACAATATAATGCTTCTCATGGACATTTTTTTTTTGTATTGGAAAATACAGGGGGTTTTCTTCATAAAAATGTTATTCATGTTAACAGGTCATTAGCTTTAAAAATTAATAAATATTCTTAAATTTTGTTTTAATTTCTCACAGTAAATAACAATAAACTATATAAACGTAAGTTATTTGCAGTAATTAATGATTTTTAAGAGTTTAAAAGGTCCCTCAGATCAAAATATATGAGGACCACTAATATACTGGAAATGCAAAGACTATTTTGTTCAACTCTATGTAAATTTGATGATAAAATGGATGATATTCTTAGAAAAATATAAATCAACAAAAGTATTCCCCCAAAATGTAGAAAATCTATAACACTATCACAGTTAAAACAACAATAAAAACCAAATGGCCAAAGAATTATTTTTACTAAATACAGTCAAAAGAGAAAAATAAAGACCCAATTTACAAGTGATTTGTACTGAAGAACAGTTTAAGGAACAGACAGTTGCAGTATTTGTAACGCTATTTTCAAGCACTAAAAACTTCCAATACTAAAATTGGACAAAGAAAGTTCAATATAAACATAGATTTGACTGCTCATCCACATAGATTTGAAAGCTCAACTACATGTAGATTTTAAACCTTTCTTAAACAACAGACTGATCTCATTTGGACTATAAAATCATAGCATTTTACAAATTTTTAGAAACTGGAGAAAATGCAACTTAGTTTACAAAGACATCAACCAAACAAGCAAACAACTCAATAGAAAAACTAAGGTAAGAACTGACAATTCAACAACAAAAATACAAATGACTTATGACACTCTATCCCCACCCCCCACACACACAAAGACAAATAAAGAATACCATTTTCTCTCTAATCTCTTCTAGCGAAGATCAAAGAATTTGACAACATATTAAACTGCAAAGGTGTGGAGAAATCCACTGCTACTGAGAGGTATGGACTGATTCAATGCTTTAGAGAATAATTTGGAACACTATGAAGATGACCATTGAATATGGCCTAGCAATTCCACTTTTATAAAATTTACTAGTAGCCCGGTGCATGAAATCCGTGCACATTAAAAGGGAATTAATTAGC